ATCGTGACACACTTAACTTCTGGAACCTCAGTAGTTTAGGTTAGTTAGCATAGTAGGACTGAGTCACTGTGACAGGCTCCTGGGAAGCTGACATGAATAGCAAGAGGCCACCTTGAGCTGCCACTGCAATGCTGCTGTGTTCCTGGGTCACAGTGTTCCCACCATCTGATTCTGAACAGAGCACAGGAACACCATGGGGTCAAAGGTTAGCTTAGCTGCCTCCTGGGCTGGAATAGACATCATCTCAGCACGCTCATTTGACAGGGCACCATGACAAGCCCAGGTTAAGTCCTGTGGCCCTGTGGATGGATGGGCTCTTCATTGCAGCCTCCAAGTGTGGCTCTGAAGCGGCCTCCATCCTGCCTTCACCCCAGCCCAGGACCCCGAAGCATTGCACATTTTTCTCCAAAACAGGCCTCAGTCACATCAGAGTTCTCTTCTGTGGTCTCTCTTCAGCTATATATATGTGGGGAGCCGCCTGCCGTCCCTGCAGACGCCATTACAAGATGGCGTTCACATCCGGTTCATGCTGAGCAGTAAATAAGTCAGTACGCATGCCCGAAGTAATTTTCCACCTTCTAGTCTCTGCCTACCTCGTGGCGTGATATGGGCTGATGAGTTTGCGACCAATCAAGAGTTGCCACGTCCAAGACGGGCTTACTAACCTATATAAGGGCTGGGTTTCCGACATTCGGGGTCTTCGCCCTGTAAGCTTATGCTCTCCCTCTCAAGATGCATTAAAGCTTTTCTGCAGAAGGATCCTGAGTGTGCCGCGTCGTTCTTGCTGGCGAGACGATAGCGCGGGACATATATACCTACACTTTGTTCTTAATTTCATCTTAATTTCTAGAAACTTCATTTGTTATACAACATATACTAAATCTTCCAACTCTTTACCAGATTCTTAATCCAGTCTTCGATATTTTTGTTTTTGTGGTCTGGGGTTGAGGCCAGGGCGTCGTGCATGCTGAGTGCCCTACCCTGGCGGTGGCATTTGTTCTGGGTCCCTGGATCCCTGTGGGATTTACTGCAGGTCTTCGCCTTTTTGCCTTTACTGTTTTGCTTCTGTCCTTTTTTTTTTTTTTTTTTTTTTTTTTTGAGACAGGGTCTCTCTGTAGCCCTAGCTGGCCTAGAACTCACTATGCAGACCAGGCTGGCCTTGATCTCACAGAGATCCTCCTGCCTTTGCCTTCTGAGTGCTGGGATTAAAGGCGTGCACCACCATGCCTGGCTCTGACCTCTTTAAAAAACTCATCCTTTGCTGGGGACCCATTACTGCTTTGTCATGCTTTGGGCCCCCAGCAGTTTGGAGCCCCTCTGCCAAAGTCTTTGTGAGGGCATGATTCTGGGTTGCCTTATTCTGAGGGTGCGGTCCTTGGAACTCCCATCCCATGTCATGTGTTATCAAGGCCGGGTGATGTACCTCCATTGGCAGAGTGCTTGCCTGGAATACATGAAGCTCTGGGTCGGATCTCCAGCACAGCATAAACTGGGCATGGTGGTAACACCTGTAATCCCAGCACTTGTGGAGGCAGAAGGTTGAGAAGGTCAAGGTCATCCCTGAGCTACTCGACATGTCTCAAAACATCATATTCAAAATTCCTTCAGTTATCTGTTCACCCATTCACCCATCCATCCATTCATGCATGCATGCATTCCTCTATGCCTTGAATTATCAGTGAACCTGTCCACACAGCCATCTATCCCTCACCCATCTGTTCATATCAGCACATTCAGATGCACATCAATGCATTCATTCTTGATCACCCAGCAGTCGGAGCCATTGAAAAATACTTGTACTAGGCAACATTATCAGTGCTGGGGGGTGGGGGGGATTCTTGAACAAGAGCCCATAGTAGTGGGAGGTTGACAGACAGGGTAAATGTGTGGAGAACTATGAAAAGAGGAGTAGGACAAGGGACTGTGCTGTTAGGGTGGGCAGGCATGTGGTGATTTTTAAGGTGGCCAGGACAACTTCTTCAAGGAAGTGTCATGCAGGAGACTTGGAGGGGAGGGTATGGGAACTGCGAATGCCTGAGGATGTCACAGACCCTTCCTATGGGGAAGGGAAGACTGCTGCTGTTTCAGGGGATGAGGGAGGAACAGATGTGGGGAGCTCCTAGATCAAAGCTGAACAAGGAAGATACTAGACTGGGTGGTGGGGGCGGGGCAGCAGCATGCCTTCACAGCTGTGAAGAACAGTGGCGGCCAGTGGGGCCTAGGCAGCCCTTGGGTTTCTTTTGGCTGAGGCTGGCAGAGATTTGGCGCTGATTTGTAGGCTATGCAAAGCAGGCGGTCTCTGACTGTCTAAAACTTACTTGGGGGGCTGGAGAGATGGCCCAGCAGTTAAGAGAACTGGTTGGTCTTGCAGAGGACACGGGTTATGGTTCCCAGGACTCATAAGATGGCTAACGACCCCAGTTCCAGAGGATCTGACTCCCTCTTCTGACCTCCATGGACATTGCATGACATGGGTGCACTTACATACATGCAGGGAAAACACACATAAAATAAAAATAAAAAATTTTAAAGTACATTAAAAAAAAAAAGATATGAGTGTCTTCACCAGGCTTTAAGCTAATATGAAGTGAACAAGATAGGCCAACAGATAGGGGCTGTCATCAACTACACCAGCCTGAGGGGGCAGGAGAGATGCACTTTCCATGGGACAACCATGCCCTTCCTTTGGGAGGCCTGCAGCTCTCTGTGAAGTCCCATCTCCATCTCCATCTTTGTAGTGGATAATGACCAAATCTGCCCTTACCATGACCCCGTGAACATCATCCCTGCTTTACAGAGCCAGGCACGAGAGTGAGTGTTGGGATTACAGGTGTGTACCATCATGCTCAGCAGGTCTGGGGTCTGCCCCCAGAGGGGCATATCTGCAGGTGAACAGCAGATGGTGGCTTTAGGCAACCGTGCCTGTGGTGTGTGTAGCCTAGAGATGCCAGTGGCTTTGAATGAGTGGTAGACACAGGCAAGCCCAGTGGGTTGTGGGGGGTTGGGACAAATATGGCCCTGCAGGCAGCGCCATGGATTTGAGAAACGGGCCCAGCGGACCTGTGGTCTTGGTTCATGGCTAGGGCCTCTGGGCCCATCAGGAACCAACCACGGTGCCCTAACCTTCCCAAACCCTCTAAAATGACCAAGTGCCTCCCCTTCCTAGGTTGCAGAAGGGTCAGAACACACGTCCTAAGCATCAATTGCCCTGTCATTAGGTGGCCTCACTGGCTGCGGTGGTGAGCGTGCTGTAGTCATGGGGCATCAGCCTGAGAGGCTCTGCTCCAGAACATGGAGGCTGAACAGCAGCGCCAGGCCCAGGAAACCCAGAAGCACAAAGGGGCAGAGGCCAAGAGGTAGGGGGAGGGTTCAACAGGGCAGCCCAGGCTGGCAGGGAGGGACTCTGACCCAGCCCATTCCCTCCCACGGCAGCATCAACCTCAAAGTGCAGCAGCTAGCCAAGGAGCAGCAGAAATGTCACAAGGTGAGTGGTGAGCTGTGAGCCAGGACCACCTCAGGGTCCACTGAGGACCTGAGAGCTGAGGGTGGAGGAAGGGCAAGCTGCTGGGGTTTGCAGGGTCTGCTTGCCCACCAGCTGCAGCAGGCCTACTGTGAGCTCAACCGCAGGATCATAGAGCATGACAAGTGTGAGTGGAAGCTCATGGGTAAGACCAAGATCACACTGCAGGTGAGATGCCCCTCCCCCAATACCCTGCACCAGGCTGCACCCCTCCCTGGGGAGGGTTGCAGGCCTGTCTGCCTCCTAAATCTAAAGGGTGTCACCTTGAAACAGGGGCCTCCTTGGGTCAAGGGTGGGGCCAGGAGGACCTGGCAAGCACCCGCCTCATGTGTCTGGGCAAAGTCCTCCTGTAAGGCAGGCAAAGCCTCCAGACAACAGCTCAGAGGGGATGGTCAGGGTCAGCATTGGTCAGCACGGCCCCTTCTCCAGGCCATCAAGGATGCTGAGGCCCAAGTGGACAGGCTGCAGTAGGAGGCACGGAAGGCTGAGGAGACACTGGCCATGGCCAGGCTGGAGCTGTGGGAGCAGACCCAGGAGGGTGGGCAGGGCTGTGGCAGGGCAGCTGGGGGGTTCTGGAGAGGTATTATCAGGGAGGGGTCCAGAAGTGGGCTCTCCCATGTGCTGCAAACTAACATCCCCACAGAGGAGGAGGTACCTGGGCTCAAGTGCCAGGTTACAGAGCTCCACGATGTGCTGATGAAGGACGTGGGAGACCGCATCCGCACTGATGGACAGTCAGTACCCAAGCTGGGTTTGGGTACAAGTCAAGAGGTACCCACAGACTGCAGTGACCTGGTGGCTGCCTTCAGGTGGCCTCTTGTCATCAACCCTTTGGGTCAGGCAGCTACCTTCTTGAGATACCAGGACACCAACTATGTGGACACTGTGAATCTGGAGCACCTGAGGCCAGAGAGGATTTGGCTGGCTCTGCTGGGGGCACTCAGGTGTGGCAGGTAGGGGGCCCCAGACAGACTCTCCCCAGCCTTGCCTGCCTCCTCAGCAGGCTCACCCACAGGTATGGGAAGCCGCTGGTGTTTGACCTGCGTGAGGTGGACCTGTTCCCAGCTGGAGGCGGTGTAGCCTGGCCTGCCACAGGCACTGCTGAACTGGGGGCTGCTGGCACAGGAAGGGTACCTGTCACTGCTGCGGCCCACTGATGGGCCTGAGTACAGCCCCTCCGAGTTCCAGGAGGCACGCTTGGAACACTTCCGCCTCTTCGTCACTTGAGTTCAGTGGCCACCAGCTGAGCAGCTGCAGGTCTTGCTCCCAGTGCGCATGCAGCTGTCCAGTGAAGTCTAATGTCACACCCCAATAAAGTATGTGCCCAGGGCACTGCAGCAACTGTGCACGTGTCATGTCACCAGCCAGGCTGGACCCCAGCTAGAGGACAGTGTCTTTCAGGGCACTGAGGGGAGTCCCACCGAGGATGGGTGCCAGGACAGGTCAGTACAAGTGGGTGGAAAGATAGGACAACAGAAGGTAAAAGGTAGTCAACTTTATTCTCCTTAAACCACAAAATAGAGTCTTTGGTTGTACAAACATCACTAGTTACAGTCTCGCCACGAGATCCCGGCTACAGGGGCAGTTAGTCAGAAGCAGAACTCCTGAAGGGTCTCTTTAAAATGCTAACACCCAGGCTAAAAGACTCAGGGTGAGGAAGTGATGAAGCTGGCAGGGTCCTCACCCCGAGTCTGGGGAGGCACCTGCCCCTAGGAGGGAACAGGGCCCAGGCCTCGGCGGCCTGGTCGCATGGCCCGGCGACTGCTGCACAGCGTCACATCTTCAGGGCCCATGGCACCAGGTGAGGGCCTGCCAAGGAGCACCAGAGCCACCTCTCCATCTTCTTCCTGTGGGGCTACTGACAGAGGGAAGCTATGAGCCAGGGTGGCCAGGAACCCTGGAGCTCACCCGGGACAGGTGTCAACTTACCAGGGCTGGCAGATGGTTCTAAGGACCTCAGCTCCTCCACGAAGTCTGGTGACTGATGGGGAGAGGGGCTAGTCAGGACAGGTCCCAGACCTGCCTGAACGACCTACACAGGCTTGGTTGGCTGGAGCTAAGGCCCACAGAGCCTGGGTGGGGTTATGACAGGCTGGCCCAAAACCAAGGTGGGTGGGGAGGCCCCACACAGGAACAGAGTAGGAAACACAAAAGGGTAGAAGAGGCCAGGTGACAGGCAGAGAATAGGCTGACAGGCGCGTGCAGAAGGGATAGGTGGCCTCCAGTACCTGGATGTCATAGACAGGTCTGGAAGAAGGCAGGGCTGCAAATGCCCTGTAGTCAAACTTCTTTCCAGACAATGGCTTGGAAGGACAGCATGGGGGAAAGGCAGAGAAGTGCAAGGTGGCAGTGAGGCGGGGGGGTCTGGAGCCTCCCTCAGGCCACAGGGTGTGGGGAACCCGTAGATGCTGGTTCCTTACCAAGCGTCCAGGGGAGCTGCTGGTCTGGAGGCCGAAGTCTGGGGAGATAAGAAGCGGGTGTTGGAAAAGGCCCTCACAGCAGGCGGAGCCCTCAGTCTGTCCCCAGGAAACACGGACCTTCCAATGGTGTGGGTGATGGAGTGGGTGCAGGTGAAGGGGCCTCAGCTAGTCGCTCAAGGGGTCCTCGCTTGCTGCGGCCCTCCTGGGACTTGCTGAGGACCATCTGTGCACGGAGAGCGTCCTGTTCCAGAGATTTCATCCTGTGGACCAGAAGAAGGTGAAGGATTCTGGGTGGACCTGGTATGCAGTGGGCAGGACCTGATAGAGGGTGGGGAGGTGCTCACCTGGCTGCCCTCCACAGTGCCCGCTTCTCTGCCTCAAGGGCCCGACGCTCTGCAGGAGACAGGGCCCGCTCAGGGGCAGGAAGCTCTGGGCTCTGCATGCGCAGGCGTTCCTGATGGCGACGCTCAGCTTTGGCTGTCCTCACAGGGGCGCTGCCTCCCAGGGGTGGGGGTGACGATGGGCTGGGGCTGCAGAATGGGACAGGGCACGTGGTGGGTGAGGGCATGTACCAGGTGAGCCAGGTGCTGCCCTCACCCTTCTGCCCTCACCCTCCAGCCTGGCCTGGAGCAGCCCAGGGCCGTTCATCGTCCTGGTGCTCCTCATTCAGGGACTCCCTATCCAAGGTGAACCCCACGTCTGGCCCCGAGGTTGCTGCCTCGTCCCGTAGCATCTGTGCCTTCTTCAGCTGCAGCTTGCGGGCTGCGGGGAGACAGGCCACAGATCAGGCTGGCCAAGTCACCTTTGCACCCACATCTCTCCTGGAGCCCAGGCTCCTTACCTTCCTCCTCCTGCATCTTGCGTAGGTCATCGGCACCCACCAGGGACACACGCTTGGGGGGACCCTCTGCCTGAGGTACCCGAACCTCCAGCTCAAAATACTTCTGCCGTTCACGGAAAGACAGCTGCTCTGGGGAGGCTGTGGGACCAGGTGTCGGGGGCTGGAGGGGGAGCAGGCCCTGAGACATGGCTGCTGTTTCTCTTGGGGGCACCTGCTGTGGCGCCCTACCCAAAGAGCATGCAGCAGAAGGGCCTTGCTGTGCATACCTGGGTAGCATTGTCCTCTGGAGGATGCACGGTAGGCACAGCTGCAAAGGCCCTGTAGGCCTGCTTCACATTAGAGGGCAGCTCATCCGGGGAGGGTGGCTAGTGTGTGTTTAGGGGTGGGGGGTAGGGCACCATAAGCAAGGCTGGGGCAGCTGTCCCAGTACAGCCACCGCCCACAGAGCCACCAGCTGTCTCCACCGACTGCCACTGACCCCCACCCACCATCCTGCTCTGAAAGGAAGCTTTGCCACCCCCACCCCTTATAGGACAGGACACTCACTGAGCAGGGACCATCTCTGCCCCTGGGGGCTGGGGAGCCCTTTGGCCAGGCCTGAGCCAATGGCTGGATCACCCCCGGTTTTGTCTGCAAAGGGCAGGAGTGGGGGGCCAGAGGAGAGTAGGATCGGGGATCCAAGAGGGGATAGGGAAGGGTGGGAGGGGAGACGGAGCCAGGCAGGCTGCAGGGGGACTCTCACCCGAGTGCCTCTGATTTGGAGGGCTAAGGCTAGGAGTTGGGCTGAGAGTGGCCCTGGACCCCCCTCCCCTATTTCATTGCCAGTGGTGCTAGAAGCCTGGCCCTCTTCATGCAGTAGGCAAGGTAGGAACCAGCAGGGACCCATACACAAGGGTGTGTATAGGAACGCTCTTATGCTGAGTCTGGAATAGGCTTGACCCCTCCAGCAAGGCCCCTGCTTTCACCAAGGCCAGCTTTAACCAAAGGTGCCTGTACAAAAACATACCCATAGCACCACCCCAGGGGACCCCACATTCCAGCACCCATCTGCTGCCCCAATAGTGTGCCTGTGACTGGGATACTCACTTGCTGGCTGCCAGGAGAGCAGGGAGCCTCAGTCGTTGTCCCTCCAGTGGTTGTAGATGGTCCCTAGACGAACAGGGCAGTAGCTGGGAGGGGAGCAGCTGGGCCAGTAGTATCCAGGGAGGAGAAATTGCTCTGACCACTTATCCTGGCAGCGTGGGGGCTGTTCCCGTGCCCCAACAGGACCAAAAGCCCAGGGATGTCACCAGAAAAGGCTTAGATGACCACAGGACCACCATAAAGGACTCTCCCTCCCCAAATCTGTGCATAGGTGGGACTGGCCTTTTGTCTCTGTTCTCCCCAGAGCCTGGGCTGGGCATCCAGGTGCCTGCTCACAGTAGTAGGCCACTGCCAAGGGTGCAGCCCTGATTACAAGGAGAGCCAGGGACAGATGAACAGATTGAGACCAGAGTTGGGACCCAGAGAGCCAACCCATCAGCAGAGCCGGATTCAGGCCTCCTCCCCAGTGGTCCATGAGCCGAAGAAACACCCTGATCCCCAGCTACAGCTCTTCTCAATCAGAGCTGCTACGTCTTCATCCTCCTGGGAGCTTTTCTCAGGGCCACTTAGGTCAGGAAGAAGGGTGGCAGCCCCCAAACCCACAGGGGTTGCTTCTACCCCTCTAGGCCCTAGCTAGCCCCTCTCTGTCTCTCGGGCGCTTGACAATGTCCTGGTCAAGCCCACGTCGTAAGTACTCACATTCTGGTGGGGGTCTCCGGGCATCCTCGGATGTTAGTTTTTAAATACCCCTTAGAGAGGAATGAGGACTGACCGTCTTTCTGCCTGGCCCCAGGTCCACAACTGTCTTGGAGGCCACACCCCAGTCCAGTTGCTGATGCCGCGCCTTCCGCACCACCCACTAGGCCTCCTTCACAGGCTGCAGCTGCTCCCCCACCCACCCCATGGTGACCTTGTAAGTCAAACTCTACCAGGAACTACGAATGGTTCACAAGAATGCCAGCTGCCTCCCTCCACCAATGGCCTGTTATAGACAGAACTCTGCCCTACACACCTACTTGAAGGGGTTGGCGGGGAAGGTACTAGGAGGGAACAGGTGAAGGGAAGAGGCCAGGGGCTTTCAAAGTGTTCCCCTTTGTGCTAGGAAAGGGGACCACAGCAACTGCCACACAGGTCAAGAATTAAAAGGGACCAGGACAGGGCATGTGGGTCAGAAGTAGGGAGCTTGCATATAGCACTCATGAAGCTCTAGCTTGCATCTCCCAGCACTGCCAAACAAGAACAAAAACCCCAAATGCTGCCAGGCTAGGAAGCAGAGCTCTGGCTGAGTCGTCTGTAAGCCTTATCCTACCCAAGACAAAGTTCCCTTCATGGTGACCTGGCAGCAGTGGCCCCCAGGTGAAGGGAAGGACCTAGGGCAAGGCAAAGACTGACAGGTAGGGAGCCAGGCTGGATAGAACACAACCCAGCACATGCCACTCACTCTCTGCAAGCTCCCAGCACTGGGCACGGCAGCCAGGGCACGGTAGTCCAGCTTCAGGGGCTCCAGAGTCCGGTCCTGGGGAAGAGAGGACCACAGTGCTGGAGGGGGCTATGTCCCAGGGATGTGTCTGCCCACTACTCCTGGTCTGTGTTCACCCCTGCGGTATCCCGGCAGGAGGGGCTGCTCTGGGCTCAGAGCCAGGCTTGTGTGGGACTCACCATGGTCTCTGAAGACTCAGGCCCCCAGGGTGTCTGACCGGCCAGCTCTTTCTCCTGTAAGCAGAGCTGACAGTCAAGAACTGACACCTCAGATTCCCAGCCCTGCGCTGACAGTCACTTTGGTCCTGACCTTGCCTGGGCCTTCAGGGCTCAGCTCCCGGTCGATGGATGAGATGCTTTCCAGGCTGTTCCGGTGGCCAAGGCCTGCCGCAAAAGGGTTGGCAATGACGCCAGGGGACACCTGAGAGCAGAGGAGTGTGCTGAGCTGGGGCACTTGATGACAAAGTCCCATGTCCCACCTCTGGGGCAGGCTGAGGCCTGGGTCCAGGATATGCCAGTGACATGCAGTGGGCACAGGAGCCCATATTCCGACAAACTGGTCACCCACCCACCTGAGGTGGCCTCCGTGAACAACTGGCTGGACCACCCAAGACCATGGGTACATGTCCCCAGTCTTCCGGGGACAGAGTATGGCAGTGGTCCTGGGCTGGGGGGGTCACTGTGAGACAGCTTGTGTCTACACATGACAGAATATGAAGCAGTCCTGTTTAGCCACACTGCTTTAGCATGGGATAAAACAAGCTGACTGTGGCCACAATGGAACAGAGGAATGGGGACAAAACTGGGCAGGGAGCAAGCCATAGGCGATGAGGTTGGTGGCAGAGTTAATACTCCCAGATGGACATGTTCAATCTAGTATGTGCAGTCTGGGTGCTAAGTAAGGATTCAGAAACAAAAGACACACGGCAGGGGAAAATGAAACTAGTTCTGAGATTCAAAGTTCGGGGGGTTCCAGGAAGGGTGGGCAGGCCCGGGGAGGGGGCAGGGTGTGGGCAGGTGACAGCAAATGGCCTTGGCACAAAACGTGCCTCTATTAAGGGTAAACACAGGTGATGGAAACGTGGAAACAGCGCACTTCTATCCCACCAGGCACCAAGGACCAGCTCTGGCCTCCAGCACAGAGGAACACAGATCAGTGGCAACAAGGTGTGAAACAAGACATCGGCCGCCACCCTTACCAGCAGGGTCTCCCAGCAGAGCTGTGCAGTGTTGTTTCAGAAACCAGAGATAGTATGAGACCAAGCAAACAAACCAAGAGGGCAGAGAGCAAGGTGCTCATGCCTGGGAGGATGGAGCAAGGAGTGCCAGGTAGGCAGTGGGCACACGGCACAGCAGAAGGCACACTTACAAAGATACAACCGTAAACTATGAACGCTACACAAATGAGTGGCTAAACGCAGAAAGCAAACCGAAGACCACTAGAAATGAGAAAACTGGCCAAAAACAGTGATCACGGGAGACATAATTATGTCTTGTTCAGATTCTGACATTACTGGATCCACGACAATAAACAAGGTGCCTACCTTCTTAACTTCTGGAATAATTTAGTTAAAAGGACACTGGGGAGGCCCAAGACAGACAGGCAGGCTCAGCGGGGTGGGGAGGGTTGTCATACACAGAGGGACTGAGCAGAAAGTAAAGACAGCAAGGAGAGGAAGCCTGGTTTCCCACATCAGAGAAGGCCACTCGAGTAAGGGCTGACCTGTGGTGTTGAGTGGAAAGATGGATAGACCCTCGGCTTCCTATGACTCCAGAAATAACCAGGCAGTAACGATTTACACAGACCCCCAGCTCTGGCCACCAAGAGGCCCTGAGGCTATAATACCCCAACAGCAGCACATTTAGACCTTGGCTTCTAAACATGACAGTCTGCTAAAAGAAACCAGGACTCCTTGGAGAAATGGCCAACCCCACAGCTAGGGAGCGAAACGCTGAGGTAAGTCCAGAAAGTTGGGCAGTGCTTAGAGCAGATGGGTGATATCAGAAAGTTCCAGGTCCAGCTTGAAGCCCCTTCCAAGAGACAAAGCTAGGACAATCTGATCATCAAACTGTGACTGACATACTATCACTGTTGAAAAATCAAAGTCCACAGCAATGGGTAAGGAAAACACCAGACACTGATGGGTCTGGACCCCCTCGGGCACAGCAGGCTACTCAAACTGGGCGTGTCATGGAGTCACATATCCTCCAGGCATCTTGCTCAGGAGAGGGTCCAGATTCACAACTGAAGTTTCTATTGGGTGGATCACTTTTGCCCACTGTTAAGTCAAAAACCCCTAAGTACAGCCATTGTAAGTCAGGGACTGTCGGGACTGGAAAGGTGGGCCAGTGTCAAGAGGAAGATGAGCACAACAGGATCCACAGGGCCAAGAGGTTCAGAGAAGTAACAGAAGAGAGAATACTCATTTACACCACATACACAGGTCAGCACAGTGAAAAATTTTCTTGTTAAGGCCACACCGACCCAGGCCCACTTAGGGTACTGGCATGGTGGTGAGGTGGGCCCTGATGAGCCCAGTGGCATCCCTTCCCAGGATCCACTAGTAGCTTATGAGGACAGACTGAGAAGTCCAGCACTTTTGAGACTTGACGGCAAGAGCATGGCCTATGTAAAACCCGCAGGAGCCCTAAAGACACCAGTCCTCAGCACAGGGCAGGCAAGAGGTAGCTAGCACCCTTCTACAGTAGACCCCAACCCAAGAGGGAGGTAGAAAGATGCAGGTCACAAGCCACTAAATGTACCTGGTAAACTGATCCCACAGGTCAGACAGGCCAAGACAACGACAGTTGGCCAGAGAGGGCTCAGTGGGAAAAGGGACCTGCTACCAAGTCTGACAACCTGAGCTCCATCCCTGAGACCCACACGGGAGAGAACCAGCTCCTGAAAATTGTCCTGACCTCCACACATGCACTATAGCATGAGCAACCTCCCGCCACATACATAAATGTAATTTAAAATTAAGCAGACTGTGAGTAAGCAGTCCTGTATCTGCCGCCCCATGCGTGGCGGTCTGCTGGGGACAAAGGCCTCCGTCAAGTCCTCTTCCTCTGCTTTTTTGTGAGACCCCTGGAATCCATGTACCACAGAGCAGAGACCTGATGTGTAAACACTGGCTCCTTTCTCCCAAACACCACGCATGCTGCTGGTGCCTCTGGGGACCAGGTCAGCACCACTGAGCACATATGAATACATATGTGACACTCCTTTGGGAAGCCTAATGCACACTACAGATGGCCATTCTTACAGTTTCAAACAGGAACAGCTTCCTAGAGACTACAACAATCCCTAAAATTGGGCATAAGGCAAGGAACCTGGCTACTACCACTAGTGGTCAAAGGCCCAGGCTGAAAATAGGTGTGCGTGAGAAGCCCTGGGAAGGAGGCTGGCTGCCTGCCACCACTGTGGGCCATAGTGCTTCTGCCAGGATACAAACAAGCCAGCCAATGAGAAGTAATAAAAAAATGAGCAGGGGGCTAGAGAGATGGCTCAGCGGTTAAGAACTGCTGCTCTTGCAGAGAACCCGGGGTTCAATTTCTAGCACCCATATGGTGGCTAACCATCTATAACTCCTGTTCCAGGGGAATTCAATGCCCTCTTCTGACCTCTGTGGGCACTGCACGACATGGGAGCACTTACATACATGCAAGCAATATACTCATACACATAAAATATGTTTTAAAAATGACAGCAGCCAAGCTGGGTATGGTGGCACCTGGCTTTAATCCCAGTACTTGGGAGGCAGAGGCAGGCTGATCTCTGAGTTCAAGACCAACCTAGTCTACACAGTGAGTTCCAGACCAGCTGGAGCTACAGGGAGACCCTGTTTCAAAAAGGCGGATCTCTGAGTTCAAGGCCAACATAGTCTACACAGTGAGTTCTAGACCAGCTGGTGCTACAGGGAGACCCTGTTTCAAAAAAACAAAAAGAGAGAAGCCTGGAAAATTGTGCAAGAAACACTGTTGCCAAACGATCCTAGGGTTCCCAACCAACTTCATGCTGGAACCTGGCAGATTTGTTCAGAAGAGAAAACAGTACTCAAAACTTCAGAAAAGAATGGATGATCTGATTAGTATTAGAATACCCTATAAAGTGACTGCCTCTGCACAGGGTGGCACTGGCCTGGCAGGCCTCAGAGCTCACTGGGACCAAATCCAGAAACAAGTCCTAACATACATGAGAATTGGGGTTCATGGGACCTGCTCCACAGCAGAGCCATGCTCCCCTCAGTTCAGCAGAGAAACGAAGGCTTGTCACTAACCACTGTGGGGACAAGTGACATCTGCTCCTGGAACAATTCTGGGTGGGCTATCAACCTGTGTTTTTTATCTTAAACCTTTTTATCTTTGTTTCATGTGTATTGTGTTTTGCCTGTAGGCATTAAGTGCACCTGTGTGTGCAATGCCCAGAGGCCAGAAGAGGACATCAGATTACGGATGGTTGTTAGCCACCATGTGGGTGCTAGGAACAGAATCTGGGTCCTCTTTGAGAGCAGCAAGTGCCTTTAACCACTGAGCCATTTTTCCAGTTCCTTAACGTGTGTTTTAAGAATCATTGAAGTATTAGGAGAAACACAGGATGATGCATTCAGGACCTTCTAAAGGGAGGGATTTCCTAAGAAAAAGCTGGAATTCACAGCCTAAAGGTAAAGGCTAGTAGAAGCCTTGATTCAGAAACTGTAGATTTCTGCCATCAAAGGATCTCATCTTAAGAGGAAAATCCACACTGGATGTGCTGTCATTACACGTGCAATCCCACACTTGAGAAATGGAGGTATATCAGATGTAGTGGAGCATGCCTTTGAGCCCAACACTCGAGAGGCAGAGGCAGGTGGGGATCTCTAATGGAGGCCAACCTGCAGCCTGGACTACATAGCAAGTTCAAGCCAGCTGGGGCCACAAGGAGACCCTGTCTCAAAAACCAAAAACACCACCAAACCAAGACAAATGGAGGTTGTCAGCTGAGTTACATAGTGAGATCCTGCCTCAAAAAAACACCCAATCTAAGAATAACAAGAAAGGAAAGGCTCAGTGTCAGAAGGGAAAAACCACAGCAATGTGCTATGAGGCACAAAAAGGGGTCCTGGGGCCAGGGGGGTCTTCCCTAGTAGGTACAAGGATGCGATTCCCCTCGGGGATCAGGGGGGTTGGGGATGGACGCCACACACTATGTGGAGGAGGGGTGCACTTGCAATGTAAGAGCAGCCAATACAACCTGCGAAGAGAGAAACATCCAGAGGGGCTGTGGCCACAGCAGACAGTGGCTGTGGGCAGGAGAGGGCTCTCAAAGGCTCTTGGTTTTGGCTGCCCAGAGCTTCTCACTAGCCGGGGCTGACAGAGATAAAGATCCAACCAAGGCCTTGGTAGGACCCAGCATGTGTAGACACACAGCTGCCTCACCATACTCATGAGCCAGACAAGCACAGCAAGGACAGCTGGGGTCAGACAGCAGGGACAAGATGTAGAGCCAAAGGGACCCAGGTTCACACCACCGCTCCAGGGCTGGAAGTCTGTGCTCCTTCTGTAGATACCCTCTCTAAGTTTACAAAGCACTTTTAAGCATATGTAAGTAAGTAAGTTAAACCCTTCCTAGGAGCTTCATCACCCAGGGTCCAAGTCTTAAGAGAAACTCCCCCAGGACCACTAGGACTCTCCTGGAGAGAAGGGGGGAACAAGGGCCAGTCTTAGCCCAGAGATGGCACCTCAGCTCACCTAGATTCTAGCCCAGCATCCACCTAGGGGCTGAACAGATGAGGGCTAACTTCTCCTGCAGTCTAGAACAGGGTGTATGTGGTCTGCGGCCATCAGCCTTAAGTCATCTTTTGCTTAGATATGACATGAAGTCATCAATCCAAAGATCCACTGCAAAAGATGCCAACCAGGGTATCCGCCTGCCCACAAGACTGTTAAGGAGGGGCAGCTAGAGACCGTGGTGACGCAGCCACGCAGTCCCTGGGCACCAGCATGGCTAACAAAGATGAATGGGAAGAGCAGGTACAGGGCACACAGAGACCATTTGAAGGCCCACTTGGACCTGCAGGTGACAATGCCCAGAGTCCTGGGGAGAGCAAGTGGGAGAAGGGAAGACAATGAGGCAGCACCAAGGTTCCAGGGAGGCTGGTCTGGGGGCCCAGCCCTAGTCCTGATGGTCCGACACTCTTGCTCTGCTCTGGTGAGCAAGTGAGTCCAGGAGGTCCACCCTGTATCCATGCCTGGCCTAGGCTGTGGCCTGTGGCACAATGAGGGAGAAGCCAGTTATCAGAAAGTGGGAGTGAGCTCCACCCAGAGACTGCCAGAGGGATACCCTAGGGACCAGAGGGCCAGGAAGTTGCTGTTCTGGCTGGAGGTGCTCAGAGCGGAGATCCCTGCCCTCCCTGTCCAGTTAGCTGCCACATACCCTCAATTATTACCTGCCCAAAGCCCTAAAACAGCTCGTCTCAGAACCTGACCACACTGGTACAGACACACCCACCTCCACACAGCAACCTGGGCTCAGAAAAGGGCCTAGCAATTGCACCCGCAGCTCCCACATGCAGCTGGCTCAGAATTGCCAGGTCCTTCCCAGAATGAAGCAGAGACTGCCTGACTACAAAGGGCAGTGCCAGGCCACTAACCTCCAGGGCTACGGTGGTGCCTGTGTCAAAGCCGTCGCAGACAAGCACGGTAAGGGTGTCACCCACACTGCGCAGGAGCTGTACAGCCTCGGCATGTGTTAGGCCCAGCAGGCTCTGCTGGTTCACCTCCAGCAGCCGCAGCCCCACACGGAGCCGGCCATCACGCCCGGCTGCTCCTGTGGGGCTCACCTGTAGAGGGCACAGTGTAAGACAAGGCACTGGGCACCTGACCAGGGCACGGGGAGGACGGGTCTCACCTTAGAGATGAAGATGCCCTCATCTGTAGGATCACAGGGGTTCCCTGCATGGCCCTTGGCACCCCCACGGATGCTGATGCCCAGTTTCTCCCCAGGGGCCTTCTGGATGCAGAGTTCCCGCATGCCTGGGGGTGGCGGGTCCCTCCGCACAAGCAGAGACAGCTCTAGGCAGGGCTGGAGCAGGGCACTGACCGCCTCTTGATGTGTGGCCTCCCGAACATCCTGCCCATTCACTGCTAGAATGCGGTCCCCAACTCGAAGGCCACAGCGAGCAGCCAGGCCCCTTGGAAGCACCTATGGGGAGGAAGGCAATATCCCATGGGCTGGGCTTGCACTAGCTCCTTGCACAGGGCTGCCCACCAGGTCTACCTACCTTGGAGATGAATACACCAGGATCCTGAACACCAAATGGGTGGCTGGAGTGGTCAGATCCCCCTACGATGCTAAGCCCCAGTGGGCCCCCAGCTCTGGGCAGACAGATTTCCTGGGGACAGAGGGAGGGCTCAGTCAGAATAGGGCAGGGGCAAAGGGGGTAACATACTGGCCATGGGCTCTGCAAGGAGTGAAGCTAGGTGGAATGAGCTCAGGCAGCCTGTGCATCTGCTGGAGAGTCTGCTGCCCATACGTGCTACACACCCTTACTGACTGCAGCCATGTAGCAGACTGGGCTCCAAGCAGGAGGTTGTGCCAGGTCAGATGGGACACACAAGTTGGCTGACTGGAACCCCAGCCTCTTGGGCACATGCAGAAAGGCTATTAATAATGCTTTCTGTCCAGTTACTGAAGGGCCAGTGGATCCCTGGGAGGGCTTTCACCCTATACTTGAGTGGAATGGATGCTTGAACAGGTAGATGGCAGGCAGGTGTCTCACCTCCACAGGGTATGGCCCTTCCAAGGCAGCGGCCAACAGGCTGGGGGCCAGCCTGGGTAGCACAGGTTCCCCAGGGGTGGCAATGGTCACAGTAGCAGCAACAGCAGCAGTGGGAGTTGGGGAGGAATGTGGCGGGGGGCTGGGTGGGAAGGTGCCCCCAGTCTCCCTCTCCAGCAGCAGGGAGATGGTGGGAGAAGCGGCCGTCAGCAAGGAGACAGCGTGATCGTGTCGTGCCTCAGTCATGTCCACTCCATTGATCTGTGGGGACACTCAGGTCAGAAAGGGTGAGCAGGACAAACAAAAGGCACCAGTGAGGCCCTACCTTTCCAGGCTCACCGAGAGGACACGGTCGCCGACCTGCAGAGTGCCTGCCCGGTGGGCAGCACCCCCCTCCGCAATGCGGGATATGAAGATGCCCTGTGGGAAAGGAGGAAGCCTGCTGGAGTTAGGAGGCATGGAGACCTCACGTGCCTCTGTTTGTCTGGGACAACCCTCTCCAAACTCCAGGCCACACTGCCTCACCCCATCGCCAGCACGGTAAGGTGTGGAGCCTTTTCCTCCAGCAATGCTGAAGCCTAGCCCCTTCTCACTGCGCACAAGGCAGGCAGCATGGTGTTGGCGGAAGGGACCGGGAGTCTCAGGCTGAAGCAGGGGCAGGCGCATGCCACCTCCTCGTCGCTCCCGGGGGCTGTAGTCATCCTCAGGCCTCAGCGGTGTGATGGTGACTGCATTCTCAGGCTCCACCATTCTTTCCCGCCACACTCGCATCTGCACAGCAGCACCCGCCCCCCTAAGTGCCTCCACAGCCTCATGGTGCTCTGCGTCTTGCAGGGCCACACCGTTCACCTGTGGGTGATATAAGACAAAGGCCAAGGCACAAATCAGCACCTAGTCACAGCCACCCTGACATCCAAGTGCTGACAATATGCCTATGTCCATGACTCAGGTTAGCCATGAAAGGCAGGCAGATGTCTATGGCCAGGCCTATCTAGGGCCCCACTCTTGGAAACTGTTATCTGCCCAAGAGAGAATGTCTGTGGCTAACAGGTGATGAGAGCTGAGCAGGAAGGCATGAGGAGCACCAGCATCCCTCCTCCCTAAGCCCTCTTGGCCTAGACCCCTAAGGCCTTCCCCCACGTTACCCTCATCCTTACAGGAAGGTCACGGCCTCCCTAGGAGATTCCTAATGGCCAGGTTTCCAGATAGGGGGCTTCCACAGAGGTACCAACTTCCCTCTAGGCCTGTTGAGGACTGACCCTGCCAAGCTACCCTTCTGCATCTGATATGGCTGGTACCTCTTGTCTAGGCTGGGGACTGATGCTTTTCTCACCCACCCCCTTTACTATGCTGGGGATTGATTTCAAACCTTCATGCACATTAGGCTAGTTATCTGCCACCAAGCTATCGCCTTTGTCCCAGACAGAGAAGCAATTTGGCAGGGAGGGCTCCCAAGCCTCTGGCTTAAGGGCTCTTATAGCCTCACCCACATGTCCTGGGGTCCTCCTTGGAGAGGGAAGATAGTGTCCCCACTTCCTAATGGAGATACCAAGCATCCCAACAGTCAAGACCACGTGGACCTTGGAGGGCACAGTTGTCCTCTGCTACAAGGCAAGGGGTCACTCCTTACCTCAAGGAGTTTGTCACCCACTCGGACTCCAGCACGGGCTGCAGGGCCCTCCTCAGATACTCGGGATATGAAAATGCCCTGGAGAACAAGTGAGGGCTGGTCTGCAAGAGCACAGGCAGAGGCAACTACCTGTCCCTTCTGGTGATGAAAGGTGCAGAGATCACTGGATAGTGAGGGAACAACCCTCTGCAGACACAGCCCTGGCTTGCTCTCTGGAGAGGCTGCAAAGACCGCAAGTGCATGAATAGTGTGCCTGGTGGCCAGAAAGGCTGTGCTTAGACCATTGCTAGTCTAGTGAGCTGGAAGGTAAAGGACCTTAGAAGAGAGTTTTGACCCTGGTGCCGGCATGGGAGAATGGGGAATGAAGGCCATTCTGTCGAGGGAACAGTCAGGCTGCCCTGCAAGCTGTTCTCAGACATTTAACTTCTTTTGTGATGCCCTCCTGGGTCTGCCTTGGGGTGTCCCCTGCACTACACAATGTTTTCTCCTGGTGGGGGCCAAGTATGCTCAGGCATCCAAAGGACAGTGAGCAGGACATCCTGAGTGACCTCTGACACCCTTAGGGCAAGAGGAAGTCCTTGAGACAAGAGCAGCTGGTATGGCAGAAGGCAGCTCTCACCTCATCATCTCCTTTATAGGGGGTGGAGCCTTTGCCTCCAGCGATGCTGATGCCCAGGCCCCCCGTCTGCCGAACGATGGTGAGTGTAAGCTGGAAACAGAGCAGACGTGGGTGTCTGGAAAGACCTGGAATGCCCATGTGTTTGCACAGTAGGAGGGGCTGACTGCAGACAGCCCCATCTAGCTCTTTCCTGGGCACCTGTGCCCACTTGGGTTGCACAGAAGGACAGGAAGGCTTCTGAGATCCCAGGGCAGGCACACCTTCTGTGAGCCAGTCCAGGCAGTTCAGAGCTGGCTCTTCTCTAGCAGGAAAGGCCTGACCCTGCTTCTGTATGAGGGCATCTCAAGGTTCACAGTACCTCCACTCATCATCCCCTATAAGCCAGGCTGTCCCACAGTGATGTACCAGCCCTGCCAAGGGACCAGGATGCCCTATGAGGATGGCTCCTCTAAACCCCATCCCTGTGGCAGCTGCCAGGTCTTCTGGGAGAGGGTCTGAGTTTGAGCACAGGGGTGGGGAGAAGTCAGAACCCGCAGCCCAGGAAGCAAAGTCAGCGGTAGCCCTGGGCCCAGAGCAGCAGCGAGCAGTACAGACCTCCTCCTCCTCAATGCGAGCAGGCTCTATCAGCAGGTTATTGGCCTGGTCAAACGACACCCCCTGTTAGGACAGGAGCAGCGAGGCATGCAGGTTAGCCACCGCTGGGGACTGCCACCACCTTACTCAGCCCTCACCATGAGCAGACAGGACAGAGGAAGGATCCCAAGTTCCTGTGGCCTGAGCCAGCCCCTTCCCTCCAGGATCCCCCTGGTCTGCAAGATCATTTGTAATTCCAGACCAGCTACATGGTAAAGCTTAGCTGGCTGGGATGAAGGCTCCAGAGGGGCAGGTCTAGGCCCAGATGTCCCTGAATTGACCTCAAGACTGCCCCAGATATCATGTTGTTATCAATCCATACTCAGAGTAGGAACATTGTGGGGTT